GCGGCGCCGGCGGCTGCGGTCAGCAGGAAAGAGGGAGGAAAAGGAGGGGGGGGGGACAAAATGGATAGAAAATGAACAAAAACAAAAAAAAAATGAATGCCAATGAGTGCCAGTGAGCAGGCCGATATATATTTCTACTATATATCCGTGTGAAAGAGAACGGTGAGGACAGCGAAACCAGAAGTGGAAGGTCACTTGATGAGTGGTGTGTGAAAGATGAAGTGGATGACATTTGGAGGTGAGTGACATTTGAAGCTTTGCCAGTGGGGGAGTCCAAGCACAAATACAAACGCAGTAGACACTCACGTTATATGCAACAAGATGAGAAAACCTCTTCAGTGGGATGCCATGCCCCCCCCCCCAAACAACAATGCAGTTGCGGAATTATTCAATTCCTACATTTCTACTTGTGGACATGTTTTGACAGTTTCTCGGCACCGTCACAACACCCCACCCTGGCGCGTGCGTGTGAGAAAGTCGAGTTTCACCTTCGTTTTGTGGCTCTGCTCCGTAGCCAGCCCAGAACCGGGCGTGTGAAGCTCCTTGGAAACGACGCACAGAAACTCAGCCTGATCCTCGGTTCCGTAGCTGTACGACGAACCGATGTTCACCATCTAGACTCGAGCGCGCACACAGAAAAGGGGGAAGGTTGATCAGTTGGAAGTAAAGCTCATCGAGGAAGCAAAAAAAAAAAAAAAAAAAAACACGGGAGAGAGGAGAGACTCTGGTGTTCATGCATGTTGGGTCGGGTCGGGGAGCGGACAGCCGGTTGTTGCACACTCAGCAGTGGACTGGACATGAAGCGTCTTTTACTGGTGCATCAGGGATGCCCAATACGTTGATCGCGATCGGCCGGTAGCTCGCGAGCGGTGACGTAAAAAAACAAAACAAAAAAAAAACCGTATATTTTTTGTGTTATCGCACGCTACACCCTTAGCATCCTACCAGTCTCACTTTCACACAAAAAAAAGTATTTTAAAAAATAAATTAAATTAAAAAGCAGATGCCTTGAACCTACGGCGGCACGTGACCTTCATCACCGGAAGTCGTTGTCTGCAATTGCAGCTTGCGATCACAGCTGTTGCGCCGTATCTTTTATTGATCTTATGCATCTCATTCAGTTTGTTTCGTGTACGATTCAGCGACGGCGCAGGCGAAGAATAGGAATCGGAAGCATTTCAAAACGGTACACGTGAGCGACGACCGTGAACACGCTGCAAAAGTGCGTCCCATGGCCACCGCGTCGGGTCTCCACTAAGGTAGGCAGTGATTTGCTTTTGTGTCGAATTTACTTTTTCTGTTTCGTTCATTTTAGGGGCCAATATGGTTCTTGCTCATCAGGGCATGCATGTCAAAGTGCGTGCGTGTGCGGTAAGGAGTCGATCGCGGGAGTTTGGTTGATAGAAAAGCAGATCTTTGGTCGAAAAAAAGTTGGGCACCCCTGACGAAGACATGAAACCAAGGTGTGCAAAGCAAAGCTGTACCGTGTGCGTTAGAGCAAGGTGGCAAAGCGGGGAAGAAAAGTGGCTAAAAGTGATCCCCTGGCTTGATTTGCTGATGGGAAGCATGTGAGCCACTAGCGTCAGGTGAATTTATAAAGCTGTGCACCTCAAGAGACAAGGTCAGCACCGACAGACAAACAGTACACACCCCCCACCACGGTGAGAGAAAAATGTCATCATTTGTTATGTATCTCTAGATTGAAGAAAAACGGATGTCTCTTGTGTTGGCGATCCAAAACTAGAAAAAAAATAAACATGTTTTAGAGTGCAGTTAAAAAAAAATAGAGCAAAGGTTGAAAACAGCTAATGGTGTGTTTCTATCGTCGGTATACTGTAACTTGCTGGCTGACGCCAAACATCAGCAGATAGTGATTTTTGAAAACATCTCCAATCAATTGAATGCATCTTAAGAAATGAATAAAAACCACAACTATAAGGCTTCTTAACAGATGCAATTGTGGTTTGGGATGGTGGTCACTATCTGGGTTTCAAACCAAGCTCAGTCGGGGGGGGGAGACTGAGTTCTACGGTATCATCTGCACTCAGCCCGACGCTTCCATGTAATCATTAAGCGGAGCCTACGTTATGCCTAAGGTTGAGTAAAGCTAATGGAAGTGCAGCAGGTAGGGCTCGGGTCGGGGGGGTACTGGTCGGACACATAAACGCACGCTCCTGACACAATATACACAATAAAGCAGCAGCGTGAGTCCAACCCACAGTCCAGAGTAGTCCAGTGCGGGGCTTTCTGCAGGCGCGCACGCTGACCTGCTCAAACTTCCAGCCGTCGGACATCGTGGAGACCATCTGGGTCAGCTCCTCCTCCTGGCACTGCAACACTCGATAGACGTGCTTAGGGGGAACCTGCTGGTCGGACGGAGAGGGGGTGTGT